AGACGCAAACTCTCACTAGTTGTGGGATGTACTGGAAGTGATATGGGGAAGGGCGTATGCCCCTCTGTAATTCTACTAACCACATATTTATATAAGCTATAGAGTTTACCCACCCCCTTGAGCTCCACCTGAGGTATAAGTTCAGGAGAACTTCTGACCAACAGTCATAGATTAAGATGCTCTTGGTTCCTGAACCCCATCTGCATATGAGATCTGAGGTCTCAGTAGAAGGCTTTTGAACGGTCAGAAAAAAAACTAGCTCCGAAGTAAACTGAATTCAGGCCGAGCATGATAACGTTTTCTCCATTTCTGGACACAAATGCTAGGTATGTCCTGAGACCATGACCACAGGGAGGCTTTGGCTTCTTGGGGAGGGGTCGTGACCTCCGTGCAGGCTGCTTAACTGCTGACACCCAGCAAATTTGGGTTCACATAAAGCTTTATGATAGGCTCGTCCTCCAGCCTCTGTAGACAGAATTTGTGGGAAATGGCGCTTTTCACACCAATTCAGTTCCACATGGACTGCCTCATTCATTGTTCTAGGCAGATGCTGGGAGGTGGACCCTGGCATCGGAAGCTTACAGTCTGTCAGGTGAGAGAAACATGAATATGAGTGGCTCTAGTGCAAAGCAGCATAGGCTTTGGGCTTTAACAGAGATACCTCGTGGTGGAGGAAGAGACAGGCCAGAGATCCATTCTGACCTGGAACCTGGCTGAGAGCTGCTAGGAGTCCTGCACCCTGCTCTCAACCTTGCATTCACCTCCCTTTCTAGGCTAAAAACCTGTTGCTGTCGAGTTGATTCCGACTCACATTGACTCTATAGGACAGAGTATAACTGCCCCATTGGGTTTCCAAGGCTGTAAATCTTCACAGAAGCAGGCTGCCACATCTTTCTCTTGTGGAGTGGCTGGTGGGTTCTAACCACTAACCTTCTGGTTAGCAACCGAGTGCTTAATCACTGTGCTACAGGGCTCTTTTCATTCTGGACGAGAGGCATACGTATCTGAATCAATGAAATCTGCTCAACCATAAGCCTGTTTTTAGAGATGAATTCCATTTTGCTGAGATCCTGGTCATGAATCTTGGGGCTCCTGCTTGCTGGGAGTTTGAGTGGCTTGTGTTTGTACCTCCAACCAGTGCGAACCAGTGAGAGGCTAGTCACAGGCAGGTTGGGGCAGATAGTATGTAGTCTGTTGCACGGACATGAACTGCAGCTCCAACTCCAGCAGCTGTGTGCAAACACAACAAGGAGGTGTGCATACAGGGGGACAGGAAGGCATCTGTGTAGGAGGGACCAGCCATGCATTAATTTTTTCCTCTGGCTGATCTGGGGGATCACTGGTAAACAACAGGATCAGAGGTCTTTCGTCTAACTAAATGTCAGCTCTTTTTCCCACCCGGGTATCATCTTGGTCTAGGAGAACAGCAGGGTTTTTCATAGCATGAAATGATGGTACATGCAATCAGATCAACTGCTTAAACCAGCATCTTCAGGTGGGAATGGCCTGAGGAGCACAGCTCTGGGCATGCTACGGAGGACCCGCCTCAGTGCCTCGATGGTGCCTGGAACATTGTAGGTGCTCAGTACATCTTTATCCCACTGCATTATTGCTGAGATGCTAAAGGAATGAGGGATGGCTACTTCTTGGGCCACTACTGTGCTCCAGAAGGCAAAGTGGAACTCACTAATCTTGTGTTCTGGTCCTCTGGGACACACAGCTCAGCAGACCACAGTCCTCACGTTACGTGGTGCTGCTGTGAGGAGAGGTGTGAGCCAGAGAACCCAGCCATCTTCACTGACCACACCATCTTCAGATTCAACAGGCCAACATACGTGTCCACAATCCCTTTCCTCTTTATAGACATTGCCACTTGCACTTTCAAGACATCTCAAAGTACTGCTATTGATCTTACCTCCTAGATAGGAAAAACGAGGCCAGTAGTTTCTCATGCCTAGTTAGTGTGGAAGCAGGATCCTTTCCAAGGTCATTTCCAAGTCATTCACAGGTAGGGTCCACCCGAGAATCTCCTGTTGTTTTGTTGTTGAAGATCTGTTTACTACGTTTTTCCCAGCCTCTCCCAACCTCTCTCCCACCCAGTTCTCTATTTTTTGGCATCTGCAGGAAGCGTGTAAGTGAGCTGGGATTAGACCATGGGTTTATGTACAATCCGTACCTCATGCCTTTGTCCTTGTTCTCCTCCCTGTCCTTGACCTTCCCCTCTGGCCCGTTCAATCACAGGAAGGAAGCCTGAAGGGAGAGGCAGCTGTTTGCATAGACTAAAAACGCCTCTCACAGGAGTATACCCAAAGGCTGTGCTTTTCTCCAAGACCAGTTCTGACAACTAAGAAGGCTGGCGCCCAACTGGCACATTCCAATACCTTTGTCCTGTCACCTCCTGTCACATCAAGCCTTTGGCACAGGATTGGTTACTCAACCCCTGCCAGGCCTGCCCCATCTCCTGCCCAACCCATGGCGGGTGGTGTCCAACATGTTCAGGATTGATGTGGATTGGTACACGGCCATCATTTCACGGACACCTTTTTTTCCAGGGAGGCAGAATTTGGAGCAGCGGTAGAAGCACCTCCGTCCTCCTTTCAGTCTTCCTCCCCCTCAACTTTCTCCTATGACTTTGATGATCAAGCTCCCTGTCCACCTACAGATCCCTTTCACCTCCCAGGAGTAAGAGTTATCTACCTATAGCCCCATTCTCTTCTCTGGCTTTAGAAAGTGCTAATCCCCACACAGCAAGTCTGTACAGTTTGGCCCCCAGCTTCCCGACCGCACCCACATTCCAAGGCAGTGCCCGCTTACTCCCTCCTCAGGCGGTAATTCATTGTTTCCCTGTAGTGGGCAGGGCTGCCCATTCGGCACCAGGGCCACCTGGGTGGAACGAGCCTCTGCACAGCAGGGTGGCCGTAAAATGGTTGGCAAAAGCTTGATCCCTGGCGGTTAAAGGGAAGAGAGAGTAAAGGAGGGGTGTGGAGCTCAGAACTTCTCTAGAAGATCACGGAAATTAAAAATCAATGCCAAAAAACCCTTCGGCCAACTAGCAAAATATGATTTCATCGGGGATCTAAGGCCCATTCTAGGAATGATTGAAGCCCACTGTGATAGATGGCCATCATACCCAGATGAGATAAAATAGAGAAGATTCTGGAGCCTCTTCCCAGCCCTCATCGACCCACCGTGTAAGTCCTGAGAAACTGGTTCCCCCTTCTGATCTCCTTGGTCTGGTCAGCCCCCACTCATTAGCCTCAGGTGCTAGTATGGCTAGAAAGAACTGAGAACAAAGGGCCAAACTGCTTTCTGCAAGGTGGTTCCACGTTTTGCAGAAGATACGTCAAAATCAAAGTTTTGGAAAGGATTATATGCTCCTTCAAGCAGATTTACTTTCTTTATTTTAATTTAGGCCATCATTTGGGGTAGTTTCCATGCCCCAAGCACACAGCAAATGGAAATGGAGAGAAACTATGAACTGAATGAAAAGTGGAGTGGCAGCCTAGAAGGAAAATTTGCTACAGACACTGACACAGAGAACATTTCATACGTAAAGTGTGTGAATAAGAATTGAGTGTATGTATCAATGTGTGGTCCTTACCTGCTTCCTTCTTAAATCCAAGGATCTTACAGCCTAGCAGAGAAGACTGGTAAGTAAATAAGTGATCACAGAACAACGTGGAAAGAGTCCTTGGTTCTAAAGACCCACCGGGAAGAAAGCCACTAGCAGAGCTTCAAGCTTCACAGACAAGCAAACATTTGAGCCAGGGTTGACAAATCAGGTGGCGTTCCCAGGCGGAAGAGGAAAGGGGAGTTCTGGGCAGAGGAAACAGTACCTACACAGGCTTGGAAATGAGAAAGCACTTGGCATGTTCAACAGCAGCAAGCAGCTGAGTGAGCTCAGGGAGGAGACTACAAGAGTGGCATGGCTAGACAAGAGGGTGGTGATAGAGGCAGGCAGGAATCACAAAGGGTCCTGTACACAGTGTAGAAGCATTTAGAGTTCATCCAAAGGCACGGAGAGCCTTCGAAGCAACAAGGTCCAATGTGTGCTTTAAAAGATAATTGGTGGCAACAGAGAGGCTGGAGGAGAAGAGAGTGGTAGGGCAGGAAAGCCGCCCTGGGGGCTAATGAGGGTACAGAGAAAGGGCTGGATCTGAAGGAGATAGTTAAAAGACAAGAGCAGTGAGACTTGGTGAGGGTGGACACAGAAAGGGGTCAAGGAGAAGGACGAGTCATACTACTTTAAGGTGTTCAGCTTTAACCAAGGGGTGGAGCAGGAAGGACTGGTTTGGGGGCAAAGATGATAGGTATAGCTTTTGGCATATTAAATTGGGACAGGTTTAGGATAGCAGGTATAACTAGTTAAAAACAAGTTGCTGTTGGTGACCCCATGTGTGTCAGAGTAGAACTGTGCTCCACAGGTGTCAGGGATTGAGTTGTGTCCACCAAAAATATGTGCATCAATTTGTCTAGGCCATGATTCCCAGTATCATGTGATTGTCCATCATTTTGTCATCTGATGTGATTTTCCTATGTGTTGTAAATCCTGTCTCTATGATGTTGAGGAGATGAGATTAGCAGCAGTTATGTTAATGAGGTTTAGGACTCAATCTACAATATTGGATTATGTCTTGAGCCAATCTCTTCTGAGATATAAAAGAGAGAAGCAAGCAGAGAGACATGGAGACCTCATACCCAACAAAGCAGCACCGGGAGCAGAGTGTTTCCTTTGGACCTGGGGTTCCTGTGCAGAGAAGCTCTTAGTACATGGGAAGACTGATAAGAAGTACCTTTCTCCAGAGCCAACAGAGAGAGCGAGCCTTCCCCTGGAGCTGATGCCCTGAATTTGGACTTCTAGCCTGTGAGAGAATAAACTTTCGTTTGTTGAAGCCATCCACTTGTGGTATTTCTGTTACAGCAGTAATAGATAACTAAGACAATAGGGTTTTCAGTGGCTGATTTTTCAGCAGTAGATCACAGGCCTTTCTTCTGAGGCACCTCTAGGCGGACTCAAACCTCCATCCTTTCAGTTAGCAGCTGAGCATGTTAGCATTTGTACCACCCAGGGACTCCAACTATCTATTAGCCACTGAAAATATGGCAATAAAACATTCTGGAAAAATACTGGAGGCTAGAGTTCCTAGTTTCTGGGGAATAAGCACATAGGAGGTATATTTGGAGCCAAGGGAGTAGATGAGATTACTCAGGGAAACAGAGAGCAGGTAAGAAAGCCAAGGACAGAATTTTGGGGGAAAAACAACCATAGGATAGAAAAACTGTCATATTTGCGTAGTGGACAGAATGTTTCGGCTACAAATTCCAAGTCTCAGCCCTGAGCTGAAAAGCGCTTTCCCAAATTACAAATAAACAGGGTCAAATGGCAGGAAGTGGACGTGAGGAGGGTAGAAGAGGTAGAGACCTGAGCGTGGTTAAGCAGGGTAGATATTACCTCTTGACTGTTAGGCTACAGGGCTCTTCCAGGGCAGAGAGAAAATAGGAAGGGTGAGGCCTGGAATCCCGGCAGATGCCCCTTCTGTTCCCAGGATCCCACTTCTGGTGCAGAGGCAGCAGTGGCAGGCTGACCTTCTGGCTAAATCAGTCCCTGTGGACAGAGGTAACATTTATGACTCTGGGAGACTAAGTGGCTGAGATAGCTCGTTCTTAAAACTGCATTTTTTTTCCTTGCTTAGACCTAGAAAACTCAGCATTGTTTTCAGTATAACACCTTCACCACCTCTACAGGAAGAAGGTACAATTTAGGACAATAGTCTAGTATAACCCCCTGCTTCCTTCACCTTGCTTCCTAAACAGAACAGAAATGTATTACTTAGTTCTGTGTAGAAAGAGAATACCTAGTCACTCTGTGCCATTTTCCCTGATGTGCCTCATTAGATTTGACTTCTAGCCCACTTGAGCCTGCTACTGCCTTTTGAGAAAATGGTTTGGTTAACCAAAGCGTGAGTCCCATGACCAGGCAGGAGTGTCCACAGATGAGGTCTTCTCATTGTGAATAAACTTTACTCCCTCACTGCTCCTTTCAAATCATCTGAGCTCGTCTTCATTTTTACCCATTTTCTTCTAGATATCTATCACCCAAACAAAAATCCCCCAAAATTCTGTGAAATTTCTATAAATACAACTATTAGCAATATGCTAACAGTTAACCATTTATTAATAGTATAATATCATACATATAGTTCAGGGTAATAAACTCAAAAACTGTAAGAAGAAAAATCAGCTTGGTAATTCTGCTTTTTATTTCTGTTTCTCATGACCTATTCATGGCCCCAAAGATCGCCAATATATTTTCTTTTGTCAGTCAGATGCATGGTGCGCTTCCCCCATCATTATAACCGATTTCAGATGGTGCTAGAAAATTATATTGACTCTGAACACCAAAAGAAATCAGTCATCCTCTAAGGGGTCACAGGTGGGCGTGAGGATGGGGAAGGGCCAAACATGAATAAATCCGTCATACACGTGACCATTTAACCAGGCGTGGTGGAGTCTGTATTATAGGACAGGTGGTACAGAAGGATTATTACACAAACAAGTATGAAGTTCTAAGAATGCAACATCCCCCATATGCCATCGGTTGTATGTAATACCACTGTTGGCAGGGGGCAGGAATGGCCCAGCTGCCATGTACGGCGGGTTCTCACAGCCGTCTTGTCTTTCTTTCAAATACTTCAGGACTGGCCCATTCATTTCTCTTGTCGTTGGAAGCGCAGGTGGCCTCCCTCAAGAACACTGATTTCAAATGGTGCTAGACAATCACTATTTAAATCTAAACCACCATATGAAACCAGCTTCCTGAAGAAGCTTTACCATCTTTTTTTTTTTTTCCTTCAGAATTCTCTCTTACAATAGACTCAACACAACCTAGAAAGGAAAAGTTGACACCTGGTTGTGAGTTATTTACTTTATGGTTTAAATAGAGCTTTAGCAAATTTCTCTGTCCTATGGGTTGCTGTGAGTCAGAACCAACTCTATGGCACCAGGTTAGCAAATTTCATATACTCACCAAATCTGTTATCACCAAATCTAGGAATGAAGTGGGGTGACTGTGACTCTCCTTCTTCTTGAGTTGCCCAGACAAACGCTCAGTTATATCATTCTGAGGCCATGCATGTGCCAACCCGTACACTCCTGGTGGGCAGTCAAGGAAAATCCTTTACTTGAGTAAGGAAGCAAGGGCAGGAGAAGCCAGAGCTCATCCAGGGTGAAAGCATCCAGGTGAAGGATAATGAGAGTGGTGTGCAGAGCTTTACAACATAAGATATACAGTACACAGCCAGCAGGGCTCTGGGGCCAGGGCAGAACAAAACTGCAGAGCAGAAGAAAAAGCTTTCTTAAACCCCATACTTTCTCTTTGAGATAATTTTGCTTCATTCAAGGGATAACTGTGTTTTGGGTCCAAGGAAGACAAGGGATAGCTGAGAGGTCAAGTAACATACTGATGTTCATAGGATCCTGATGTTTTTTTCCAGAGTGGAATTCCCTAGATTGCATCTCTGAGTTTGGGATTTTTGTTATCTCTCTACAAAAGATTCTCCTCCCTGTCAATGCGAAGTTAAAGGCTTCGTGCCTCTTCATTTTCTTTGGCATATTATTTTTAGCTGCAGTTCTTCTTTCCCTCCCACTATAGCTCTTGACATCATTGTACTAGGCGGCCTGTTGTCATTCCCTTTAACGTTCTAGGAATCCCAGAAGATAATGCACAGGCTGCCTAACTAGAGAGATGTGCATTCCTTTTTTAAAACTGTTATTACAAAAAATTTCAGACATACAGAAAGTTGAACAATAAAACAAACACCTAAATTCGACAATTGTTCAGCTTTGCTTCATCTCTGTTATCTGGAGGGTCACTATGAGTCGGAATTGACTCGACGACAGTGGGTTTGGTTTTTATGTTATCTATATGTAACATGTAAGTAGATCTTTTTGCTGAATCATTTGAAAGTAATTTGAAGACCATCCAGGCACTCTGCTGCTAAATACCTCAGCATGTACGGTCTAAAAAATGAGGCCATTCTTTCATGAAAACACAATACCATACCACGCCCAAGAAAATTAACCATTCCTTTGTATCACCTAATATCCAGTCCATATTCACCTTCTCCCACTGTCTCCAAAAAATGTTCTTTATAGTTCTCTTGTTTGTGTTTCCAACCCAGATCCCATCAAGGTTCATGCATTAAGACTCTCTGGCCTCTTTTAATCTAAGACACCACCGCCATTTCTTGTTTATCATGATACTATTTTGTGAACTGTGGATTCTAATCCTGGCTCTGGCGTTCACTTACTGTGCATTCTTGCTTAAATAAATTCACTGCACTTTGGCTTCTCCCTTTGCCTTTCCTCACACATCACCGTCATTGTGCAATCTCGCTGTGCATACGGCTGCAGGAGCCTGTTACAGGTGCCATGGTTGAGGATCTCCAGTGGCTTCAGCAGGATGCTAACAAGTCAGGAAGTGCAGGCCGCTCACCTTGGGTCTGATCAACGCTCTTACCCCTCATGGCGTGGCCAGTGGCCACTTCCTAAGCAGATCCCAACAGAAACTCACGCACAATGATGGGAAAGCATCTGAAGCCCATGCCTCTGCTGCTAGGCGAAGGCTGTCACCTGTGAAAGAAAGCAACCATGGACTCACAGGTGTGCAGTGACCCTTCCATCAGAGCTGCAGTAGCTCATCATCTGCAAAGAAAGGCACATACTTGGTGAACAGATAGGCAGTTAAAGATGGCAAAACCAAACCCACTGCCACTGAGTCAACTTGGACTCGTAGTGACCCTACAGGACAGAATAGAACTGCCCCATAGGGTTTCCAAGGCTGTACATCTTAATGGAAGCAGACTGCCACATCGCTCTCCAATGGAGCTGCTGGTGGTTTCAAGCTGCTGACTTCTCAGTTAGCAGCTGAGTGCTTTAACCACTGTGCCATCAGGGCTCCTTTAAAAATGTCAATTGGATAGTAAACGTAAGCATGTAAGCCTAGCACAGTCACTCTGGGAAAGTGCCGGACGGAAGAATTAACTGACTTCTCAAATAACGATTTCACGAATGTTTAGGCTGACCGATTGCTCCACTGCATCCTTCTGCTTATGCCATTGTGACTGAAGGGTGCAACCAGCTTCCAGATTATTCTCATCAGTTAGAAGACCGAAAATCCAGCACAAAGAGGTCTGCTTACTTTTTTACAAATGATGAGACACAGCTTTTGCCTACTGCTACTTAGAAACGCTTTCAAATAACTGATACTTCAGTTATGAGGTGAAAAAAGAATAAATGCCCTTCGCTTATGCCTGATAAGATCATATATATCTTACACATCATAAATGTACATACATATATCACACACACATATGTACATACACGGATTCACATAAAAACCCATTGTGGTCTAGTCGATTCAGACTCATAATGACCCTACAGGACAGAGCAGAATTGCCCCATAGGGTTTTCAATGCTGTAATCTTTATGGAAGCAGAATGCTACATCTTTCTCCCATGGAGCAGTTGGTGGGTTCAAACCGCTGACCTTTTGGTTAGCAGCTGAGCACTTAACCACTGTGCCACCAGAGCTACATATTTATACATATATATGTAAACATATATGTATACACACACACACAACTATACTATTTTGCTCCCTTAGGAGAAGCGAGCAAATATGGCAAGTTTTCTATATAATCCTCGAACTGCACGACTCAAAAACTCAGCTGCAGAATAAAGGTGGGTGTATTCCTTTGCATTGCTGTCTCTCTGTGAGCCTGGCGTGACAAGGCATTTTCAGCAAACAAAGCCTAAGTACCAAGATCGGTTACTTAACTTTCCTGCCTTTTTAAGTCCTGCGGGGGGTGGGGGTGGGGGTGGAAACTAGTTACTGAGTGGTTTGTGACTATAAATGACTTGCACACACTGAGGCAGAGATTGTGAGCTTGGGCCCCCGTTTTCACATACAGTAGTCTTCTAAAGCAAGAGACCAGTTTCCGGAAAATAAGTCTGCCAGGGGAGACTGCTACCAAAAGAACAGAAAACAACTGTCTAGTCCACCAGTAGGGAAAGGAAAAACCCAGTCGGTAAATTGACAGGGACGCAATCATCTTCTTTCCAGGGCATGCCAGGGAGAGTGACAGGAAATGGGATCTGCTGACTTGTTGAGTCCCCAATGACATGACAACTGCAGGGACAACCCTACTAACAGAGAGAGACTTCTCATTAAACAGGAGCGTGCTTCTGTCCCTCCACAGCCTCCTAGTCCAACGATCAACTGGTTGTTCTGCATTTTTAGGCCAGAATACAGGGCTGCCCTTTTGTAACTCAGGGTGTTCCTATCTGAAGACCAATTTTAACCATCCACGACTTCAACGTACTGCAACATTTGAGAGGAACGTTATTTTTAAAGAACTCTTCCTTAAACACAGAACACACGCAACTGTCAAACTCTCCATCTCTAGCATTAAAACAATTACCTTTCAGGAAAAAGAAAACCTTCTTTTATGTCCCTCAGCCCGCAGCTATGACAGTGTGTCTCCACTTAAGCCTGGTCTGCACTGCCATGTTTTATGCTGTTTTTGAGCAAGTTGCTCTTTGTATTTTTTCTCGCAAATCTGATAGTAAGGTTGGAGCCTGCACTGTGTGTGACTCAATACACCACATCAGTTAACTCCTGTGTGGTGAGAGGCTGAACAGTGGAAGGACATTGTTTCCATTTAAGTGAGATGCCAGTCTGTTCTTGCAGGAGAAAACTGGATTAAGACGCCTTCCCTCAGGGCTGGAGGATTTCACAAGGAGAACAGTACTGGACTAGGACACCTTAAGACTAGCTTCAAAACATAGGGACACCGGGACACTGGAGTCCTCGATGTGAGTATTTACGCCAGACTAAAGATGAACCCTAGCTGCTAGCTGGTCTCTCTCTGCTGACCTGTATGTCTTTAGTGGGCATTTTCTTACAGGAAGCAGATGAACAAGTCGGGCAGGGTCTGGAGCTGAAGTCCTGGCTGTGCTGCTTACTAGCTTGGTGATCTTGGGCAACTCCTTTGATTTCTCAGAGCCTTTATTAGTATCCCGAGCTAGAAAATGGAGATAAAAATCCCTGTACTGCAGTGGTTGTTAGGACCATTTGTAATTAGCATATGGAAATAGCAAGTAAATTATAGATACCACACAAGTGTTCGTGGTTTTATTGGTTGGATCCTACCTCTGGGTGTATTCTCCAGCATGGCCTTTGAAGAGGCTGGGAGGGCACTCTGCAAAACAATGATGCCAAAAACCCATTGCTGTCCAGTGGATTCCGACTCCTAGCGACCCTATAAGACAGAGAAGAACTGCCCTGTAGGGTTTCCAAGACTGTAATCTTTACGGAAGCAGACTGCCACATCTTCTCCCGCAGAACAGCTGGTGGGTTTGAACCCCCGACCTTTTGGTTAGCCGCCGAGTGCTTAACCACTGTGCCACCAGGGCTCCTTAGAACAAGGATACGGTCCACTTCTAGAACCTTACTCTGTGCCAGACACTGTGCTACAGGCTTTACAAGCATTTTCTCAGAGTTCAAACCACCTAACAGGGAGCTGGTGCTATCTCTATGTTTCAGGTGAGGGAACAGACATTTAAGAAAAAGTGCCTGGCTTGCTCATGGTCACAAAGCTTGTGAATGGCCCAGCCAAGATTCACATCCTGTGTGCCTGGTTCCAAGCCCAGGCTCCTAGACCTTGCCTTTCACTGCTCGGTGCTTTGTATGTACTGTACCGGTTCATCTTCACTCGGCCACACAGAGCTCTGTACACAAGTAGGCTCCAGGTTTCCATGTTTCATCAGTGCACATCTGGGCAAACCATTCAAACCAGCTCTGGTCCTGCTGAGCAGAAGCAGCACCAAAGTAAACCCACCAAGAAACCCGCGGCTGTAGAATCGATTCCGACTCAGTGACCCTACAGGACAGAGTACAACTGCCTCATACGGTTTCCGAGGCTGTAATCTTTACGGAAGCAGACTGCCGCATCTTTCTCCCCAACCCACCACGAGGAGGAGAAAACTTGTGACTGAGTAGGGTTTGGTTAGCAGTGACCCGTCAGAAGACCTGACTCCTCAGCCACATGTCTGACGTGCAGTGTGACCTTATGCGAGTCACGTCTTTTCTCAAGCCTGATTTCCCACCATCTCAAGGCGGCTAAAGTAAAAAGCATAGTGACCAGTCCAACAGGTCAGGCTTTACTTATTCACGGGGTCGCCCCATCACACGTGCAGCTGAGGAGCTACAATCAAGTGGGTGTGGCAGTGTTCAAATACTGTCTTCAAATGCAGCCAGCAGTCCTACCCTCCGAAGCTTCCCATTTTTATGAGGCAGTGAGGAAGACGGTCACGGGCCAACTTTCCAGCTCTGCCACCAGCTCCGTGGGCAAGCTTGAGTAAATTACTTCAAATCCCAATGCTTCAGCCTCCTCATCTGTAAAATAAGGATAATAATAGCACCTACCTTGTAAGGTTGTCTGTCAGGGTTAAATAAGGTACGACACATACAGCAGTTAGAACAAGTGATAGCACAGGGTACAAATTCAATAAGAGATAGCTGTGATGATGATAAAATAATCATTCTTCCTTCAGCATGTTATGGACAAAGATGGGGCTGACAGATCTGCCACATCTCCTAAGTGGAAGGTGGCTCACAGCTCCTGCTTTAGAACATATCCCCAGACCCTGGCACCTTCCGGAGGAGCCAAATGCAGAGATCCCTGATCTGTACATCTTTATGCCACATCTTTCTCCCACGGAGTGACTGGTGTGTTTGAACCACCAACCTTTCGGTTAGCAGCAGAGCTCTTAACCACTGCACCACCAGGGCTTGTCTGATCAATACTAGAATCTCAGAAGACGCCCTTGGATCCACAAATGGCCTGTCCATCCGACCTGACTGAAATGACCATCTGTAATGTTTTCTGCCCTCTTCTTGCCTCACTCTATGATCTGAATACAGGATCTGCACGCTTGCTTTCAAAGCAAGAGCTCATGTTATGATTTTTTTTTCCTGATAATAAGTTGGGAGTTGGAAATTTAAGAGACAAAAAGTAGACGTCAACACTGATGACCATTTTTAAATTTCCTGGGGAATCATCCAGGAGCAAAATAAACCTCCCTTGAGATTGATTGGTGAGCACAAGCCTCTACTTCCATCACATAAGGGTGATCTGCAGATGGAGTTTTTGCAGGTACAGCTATCCTCAGAGGACGGGCACCTGGAAGTAAATGACAGTACGCACCCTTGAAGTCTCCCAGAGCAACAGCAGAAGTAAAAGCCAACTGTTGTCTCTTAAGCATGTCACTCCACCAGTATCATCACAGCTGCATTTTTAAAAATGAGAAATGAAAAGCTCCCTCTCCTTCCTCCTGCAGATACACAGGCTGGGAAAGTTCCTGTTCACTGAGCCAACATCTGCCCCTCGCTGCTGTTCTCTCTCGACTGAAGGTGTGAGGTGTAGCCGTTGCCAAGGAAACTGTCCGTTGACATGGGCCTCGCACTTCACACACAAGGCACTTCCCAGATCACAGAGGTTTGCTCAGCAAGGTGTCTTATGAAAGAAAGTGTGGTATAAACCTATAGATCCAATCGCAGAAGAAAGGCCT